GTAGTAGTAATAGATGACTATGGAATGTGTGTATTATTATTGATACTTGTGGAATCCAATATCGTTGGCTTCTCCCTAAAGCATTGACGGCACATCATAAGGCGTACTTGCGGATAAGACCGTGCTGGTTGGAGCACACACGGCATTGACGAGAACCAGGGCCGAAGTTACGGGGACGAGTCATATAGAGATCCGGCATAGTGGCTTAGGTGGCTAACGAACTCTCTGATAAGCAGCACCTTACCACCCACCCTATTCCATATCTAACCTACTCCAACCTAAGATACCTCCCGCACCAATATCCAAACTGGGCAAGGACTAGCTTCTCTGAGGTTCCCCCGTATCCTACCATAGCCAAGGCTAAACCTCACGAACACTCTATCCCCTCAAAGGCCTCGGATCACGTCCAAGGGAATACCGATCGATTGCGCTATAGCGATGAGGGGAGATTAGAGGAATTGCCAGAAGGCAAGATATTGTAAGATTGGTCCTAATAGCATGATGATGCGCAAGATTCACTATGGACATCCCTCTATACCGCTCAACAACAGAAGAGTCCCATCGTGGTAGGGGAAGGGGTTTTAGCCGTAATAGGAATCTAGAGTTGAGGGAGAGGCGTCAGGTAAGGGTATAGCAGTGGGGAAGGACGCCACTGTTGTTGGTATTAGAATGCCCGTACTGCTGCATACTCACCTAGGGAGTATCGGAGTGGACCACCTGATGTGATCAGACCTGAGGGGGAGAGGCTTATGTAATAATGCAGGGGACTCGTTTGGAAGCGTTTACACGAGTGGGAGAAAAATTCCGATCGGATCACTCGTCGTTCTGTTTCAACGTACTGTGAGGTATATCACCGTATAGAGATGTAGAATACTGCTCACCCCTCTCATCATCTTCTCCTATCAATACATTGTACCCTCAACGAGCTCACGCCTCACTAGAGTTGTAGTCGGTCTATAGGGGTTCTTAATATGACTTACATACAATGGGCTCTAATCTCGGTACTTTCGAGGATGCGGATGTGTATCCTTTTAGGGAGTTACCAGCATATCGTCGTAGAAGAGCTGGTGGGAAGAACGTCTATTGTAATATATATGCATAAGTTGGTCCCTTACAATGTGGTTGGTGTAGTATACCCCCAACCAGAGGCGTATGGTCGTGTTGCTGCAGTATGCATTGGGGAATCTATTGATCTAGATGAGATCAAAATGGGATGGACTCAGATTCAAGCTGGATCCAGGGACAGCTGTAAGGAGTATCTTAGCTTCAACTCTAGAAGATACAGTTTAGGTCGACAAGGTATATGCATGCTTATTTTAGATAAAGGTTCCGCTGCCGGCCTCGTTGGTGGTGATCTTGTAACTGATGCCGTATCAATAGAGAAACGAGTACA